TCTCTCTCTCTCTCTCTCTCTCCTCTCTCTCTCTCTCTCTCTCTCTCTCTCTCTCAAAACACTCACATTGACACAGAACACACAAACAACTCATATACATATTTAACTGATCCCTGCGTCGGCCAAGGCAAACTAAAGCCAAAACAGAACCATAAAACTGTAAATCGCTATCTTTTCTCTGCTCTGATTATAACGAGCTGCGGAGCCTGGTGGCTTATAAATTAATCATGATAATAGAGACATTGATTTCTTCTGGAATGGAGGAGACCACTGGCGGCCAGTTCTTGTCTTAAACCTAAGGAGGCGGGACTGGGGTGGAATATTAATGTCTGAAAATAAGGTTTTGTTGTTGTACTATATTATTGTTATGGTTTAATACGCCCCGTTTAGCACTACTGTAAGGTTTGTTGAGAAGGTTGGACCTCCAAATTCAAGAACACATCTCTGATGGGACAGAGCCAAGTGGGCGGCGAGCTATGAAAATTATACGCATTATCCCAAGGTCTAAATACGCCTGTTTGTGGATTTAGACCACCGTAACCAGGGAATAGGAGTGGACAGCACACAATGTGGACCGACATGATCAAAGAACGGACTTGGCTAAATATCACAATATATGCACGCGAGCTGTCAGAGACTGTAAACAATGGCGGGTCATCACTACACGCCAACCTCTTGAGCCAGAGATGACACCTCTAGATTCAGATTCATCCCACACGTGATAGTCGTTGAGCTGACAGGCTTGCGGTGTGTTAGAAAACGGCAAAGGCAGAGACAAATTTGAAAGATTAAGAAAAAAAGAAACAGACCATGCATGCCTCAATCAATCAATGAGAACGTTTCCAGTACAGTCTGAAATAAGAATAAGCCCCCCACCCACTCTCCCCTTTCTCTCCCTCTCTCTCTCTCTCTCTCTCTCTCTCTCTCTCTCTGTCTCTCTCTCTCTCTCTTCTGTCTTTCTCTTCTCTCAATTTCTATTCATCTGTGTATCTCTGTCTTTCTGAATCCCCCTTCCTTTATCTCCATCTCTCTCTCGATCTCTGTCTTTCTTCTCTATCTCTCCCTCTCCCCCCCCCCCCCTCTCTCCCTCTCTGCGTTTGTTTGCGTGTACGTCTGACTGTTTTTGATAGATAGATAGATAGATAGATAGATAGATAGATAGATAGATAGATAGATAGAT